ATATGTTTTTATTGGAATGTAAAAGAGATATCCTTTGAAAATAGCTCCTAAAATTGGTAAAGGCCTCGATAGTGATATAAATGAAATTTTTTAGGACAATTAACCGTATGAATAAATTATAAAGCGGGGTAAAAAGTTATTACATTTCAAAGAAAGTATTTTTAGCCCAAAGGGGCAATTCGCAGAGATGGGTTATTAATTTCGTTTTGGGATTTTGCGTTAGTACACTATAAACGGCGTTTCACTTTTCAAATTGTTTTTATCGAATATGTGAGCCCTACATTATACACTGCTGGCCACCCAAATTGCAACACAAAGAAAGACTTGAGATACCACAACAAAATTTATTTAATAGATAACATGTTGACCAAGTATCAAATGATTAAATTTAGAGACCTCTGTGAAGTGTGGTTTCTTCCAGAATCAGTAGCCAGAGTAGCCGCCCATTGTTGGAGATCACCACTGCTACACACGCCTCGGCACTTGATTCAAAGAGACTTTCGGATGTGTTTCTTGGGGTACAGCAGACCAAGTAGCTTCCCCCACGTTGCCAAAGTTGATGTTGTGTAGCAGCTTGGGATGTAATCTGGGTCAATCGTTCAGAAACAACGGACCACATGTTTTCTATCGGCAAAAGATCCAGACAGCGAGCCGCCCAGGGAAGCAATTCAATCTGGCGATTGACAAAGAACACTTGGACAATGCGTGCCACGTGTGGTCGCGCATTATTCTGTTGAAATATGGCTGAGGGAAAGCCCTGAAGGTAAGTAAGGACAACTGGCTCCAACACCTCGGAGATGTAGTGCTGGTTGTTTAAAGTACCGGCAATGCGTATTAGAGAAGTGCGAAAGTGATATCCAATATTGCCCCATATCATAATACCCGGTGCAAGACCAGTGTGGCGGTACATAACGCAGCTGTTCGGCATCCTCTCTCCACGTGTCTCCAGACTAAAATCCGACCGCCGTGGTGCTGCAGACAGAAGCGCGACTCGTCAGTAAAGACAATTACATTCCATTCTGCCGTCCGCATCCTTCTTTCATCGCACCATTGGCGTCTGTGGTTCTGCGTCAAGGGTAGACGAAGCAATGGACGTCTTACCAAAAGGCCATTCTGCTGTAAACGGCATCGAATAATACACAGACACTGGATGATGCGTTACAGACTGAATGTGCTGTGCTATGATTCGTGATGTGACTGAGCGATCCGTCACTGCCAGGCGCACAATGTTCCTGTCATCACGTGAAGTGGTGCACTGAGGTAAATGCGATCGAACACGTCGGTCCGTCGTACCCTCCTGCATCCAACGGAGACATATCCGCATTACAGTTGTTTGGTTTCGTCCAACACGACTACCGATTTTCCTGAAAGTTAATCCACGCTCTCGGTAGGCCGCTATCCTTCTTCTGTCGAACTCAGATACTTGATCAAACGATGATCGCTGTTTACTACGAGGCATAATTGATCGTTGTTGTTTTGGGGGGGTTGGGGAACCGCAAGAAATACACAATTGCCGAACACCGTCGAAAACTCCAAGTCTTAAATAGCGCTTTGAAGAGGCGCCATAGCGCGTGATGTGTGTCTGCGCTGAAATTCTAATCATTTGCATATCTCACCTCCGCTAATGCATGTTGTAAATTTCATGTTATTTGCATGCTTCCTTCAGGGTGTTGCATTTACGGTGGCAGTGTATTTAAAGAAATTAAATAATGGAAAAATCCGCATGAATGTATCTATGCTTCTCGCACTTTTAAAAACTCAACGGTACCTAGAGACATAAAACTTTGAATATCGTAGTCTCCACTCGAATATGGCATCTGAAAGCCTAATTTCAAATTTGTTTTATTGTCTATTTCATGTTTTGTAAAACTTGAACGAGTTTTTAATTAGCAAACTCAATTATTTCAAAGCGAAGAATGACAACATTGCACGGAAAAAAATATCTCTAGTGCACGAGACTGTATCGGAAATTCTAAAGCTATGCTCCAGATGTCCATATTCGAGTGGAGATGTACGTTATTCAAAATTGGATGGCTCTAGGTACCATTATTTTATCACAATGCGTGAAACATACATTCACTTATTCAGATTGTTTATTATTTAATTTCTAAATATAACATAGGGCGGTAATATTTGGTGGCAACAATTTCAAAAGTGAAACGGACTTTTAAAATTTTCAACGCAAAATGACAAAATGAAATTAATATCCCTTCTCGGCTAAAAAAAATAAATAAAATCGGAAAGATTTCAAATTTTAAGGGTCGTTCAAAAGGGCTTGTTAAGGATTTTCACGGTCCTACAGAGGCCACAGTCTACCAGTCTGCTGTTACACTCACTCCTACTAATTTTTTTGTCTTTTTAGCTTTATTATTAAGAATCAATTTCTTTGCACTTACACCATACAGAATTCAAAAGCAAAATTACGAAAATTTTAAAAGCGAGACAGCAGTATGCGTTTAGAATTCCTGATGTTTTTAATCAAAAATTCGTTAAAGTTTTACAAAATATGAAATAGATAATATCACAAATTCAAAATTCGTGCTTTTTGATGCCTAAATTCGGGTGCAAGACTACATTATTCAAAATTTGATGGCTCTAGGTACCGTTGTTTTTCGCAGTGCTAGAAACATCCATACATTCATTTTTAATGAGATAGAACATTTATGGCTTCCGCAAATGGTTGACAGCCATTTTGTTTTGTAAGCTTGTTAATGTTTAACACCGAATCTATTACGAAGCCGTTTTATTTCGTCATTTTAAAATGAACTTCATATATGTACAATATATCAGAATCTCAAACACTGACTTTAAATTTGAATGAAATCTAAACTTAATGGTAAAGTACCGTAAAGTTTTCACTCACAAGCACAGTCGCTCTGCAATAAGCATCCAAGCTGTGATAATTAACAAAATGCTAAATAACAGAAACTTTGTGTCAAGAACTGGTAAAAAATAATGTCTTTTTGTAATAACTCAAAAATATTCCATAAATTCAAAAACAAATTCAATAAATTTCATAAAAGGAAAAAAATCAAGAGGGCATACCGTGAACATTCTTACTACAGATCTTAAATCATAAACGAAATTTTATCCGAAATTCTATCTTCTAAGCTTCAGCTAAAAATATGTTCTTGAGTATTCCGATAACATATTTAAAATGGAATGATCCTTCGTAAATATTTACTTGATTTCGGAAAAGATAACAAGGATACAAAGGAATTTCTAGTGTTAAAAATTCCAGCTTTTGAGTTTTTGGTTTCGTATTTCGAGATTGAGCTTCCTTTGCCACCGGCTTTGAAAGGTTCGATTTTTTTAGTTTGGTAGAAAATTTATTATGCCGGCAGTCCTTTTAAAATTTTTTCACTAAATTTTTACGGTATACGAATATAAATTTTCATCATTTTAGACTAACGTAAATAATAAATATATATTCTTGGATCTAAAAATGAAAAATATTGAATAGAAAAAGTTTTTTTGGCATTAATAAATATCCCCCATTGTTTTATATGTTTAATATATTCACATACTTCTATAAAAATATAAAATAACATTCTCTCTCAAAGGCAATTTCCTATGGTTCCAAATAATTGGAGTCACCTCAGAGGTTAGATATTCAGAATCCACACTTTATTTATGCTTTCAACGATGTTGATAATTTTGAGAGGTGGTTGTTTTAAGGAGATAATAACCCTGAAGCTCTGTTTTGAAATTAAAAGGATTAATTTTCATTAACTTGATATTATCCACAAAGGTACTTCTGAAAGATCGTGGGTAAAGTGATTTGGTGAAGACCCTTCCTTACGTAATATATAGTAACAAGTAAGCACCTTGTTCTTTAACGCAACGAGGAGACGAACGTAAAGTAACAATAATCATCTATACTATTAAAACCTCAGTGCGTCTGTCTATTTGTTTGCTTGTGGCATTATCTCATCCGGAACGGCGTCGGGGAGTTGAATTTCGAGAGAGGTTTCTCAAGATTGCAAAAATTCGCGGAAAGCCCTTTCGACCATTCTCATCTTGAAAACGCTAATTTTCACCCTCATCTTTCCGAATGGCCGCAGTCTCGTACGCTGGAGATAAAAATCTGCTTTATTTCGCAAAGTGTTGCCATGCTCGCTTTCAAATCCTAAAGTTTGCTAATAAAAAATTTGTAAGTTTTACAAAATCTGAAATAAAAATAGCACTGCCAAACATTGTTGTTGTCGTGTCTATATTGCATGGACCAATGGTTGCCAGATCCTACTCCAAAGAGAGGTTGGACTTCACTGCCAAACATTAAATATATTAAAATTCCCGATATACTCCTGATTCCAAAAATTTATAAGAAGCCATTTCGATCATTCTCATTCTTTATTATAATAAATAATATAGCAAAAAAGTGTGGTAACGATTAACATTCTGTAAACGTAACCACTGAAACATTAAACTGCTGAGTGCGTCCACGCCAGACACACTTTTTTCTCTCTCCGGCATTTTTAATATAAGTTATTATATATCATAAAATGACTATATACAAGATAATTATTTCTATACATTATATAAGCGATTATTTTTGTTGCAGTTGCTTATTTCCTTTTATTTTATTTCTGTGTGTGTTTGTTTCTCGAGTTCTGGTGGAAATCTCATGGCAATGTATTTAACAATAGATTCAAAGCAATTGTTTAATAATTTTGTAGCAAAATATTATACTCTAGCATGAATTTATTTCATTTCTTCTACTGCAACGCCACATTTTAAAAACTGAGGTAAGACAATAATTATGATTTGCCAATAAAAACCTCTGGAATTTGGAAATGGAACAGAAAAAAGACTGCATACGAAAATGGCGATGTTTCTCGTATTGAAACTAAAGAATTATTATGTGCATTTGGTTGTCACAATTTGCTGCATTCTTTATCAGATAAAATGTCAAAATAGTCAAGTAGCTCAGGTGACAAAATTTAAAAAAGAATTTCTTGTTCTTCATTTTCATTTATTTAATTTTTTTTTCTTTCTAGAGGAATTTGTCGCTCATGGAGCTTGCGTCACATGTCTTGCGTTGGGTCGAAAATCTGGAAGAGTGATGGTAACTGGAGGAGAGGACAAGAAAGTCAACCTCTGGGCAGTGGGCAAATCCAATTGTATCATGGTATGTAAGAACTCTACAAAATATATTGTTGCGTGCGTACGGGTTCATAACACATTGAATGCACAAGTCCGATAATAGGTTAATAAAAATTTATTTTTATCAAAAGGAATGTCTCAGAACTCTGGAATTTTCCATAGAAATATTCGTGCAAGTGTTCACAGTATCACTCAGTATAACCAGTAGTTACACTACAAACTACTAAAAGCGTTAAACACAACAAACCTCATCTAAAGAAAAAGCTAATTCGATCTCACGCTGAACTGGCAACAATAACAACAGCAGCTAACTAAACAACTGAGCAGATGCTCTCTCTTCGGCCTTAGATAGTTTTCAACCGATCGCGAGATATTTCTAGTAATTTCTGCTTCTCGAAATTACTGGAAGCAATAAGAGGATGGAATTACGGTTACAGCTAACATAATAGTCAATTACATTTATTCAATTTTAATACATATTACGGAGATACAGGGACCGAACTTAAATGTGGCCAAATTTGGCGACTTTTGGAAATTTTTCGCAAAAATTGGCTTTAAAATAAGTTGCCAAAACCGTTATCAACTTGGCGATATCTCGCCAAATTATCGAGATACTAACTCAATGTTAAATGCACGTACCTCTGTTTTTTTAAATTTCCGTCATAGCTTTGTCTTAAAATTTGTCTGCACTACATTACAAAGAAAAATACAACAATTTTACTTATAGTTCTATTAAAATTACTAATCTAAGTAAAAAATTTGTAACAATATTTTCTATTTTTAATTAAATTTTATGAATCTATGTTTTTATGAATGTTCCCTGGAAGGATTATATGCCATTACAACTTAACGTACTAACATATAGGCTACTTAAAAAAACCTCAGATTAAACTCATAGTCTTCTGAAGGAAAACTATTTATCAGATGGAAATTTTATCCAGAATAGATTCATTTTCATGATAAAATTTTAGAAGATAATTAGACATTTACAAATATCGCCTTGTATGGGATTTGAGCCCGATCCCTTCGATGCAGCAATAAGCGTGACTAACCACTAACCTGTCTGAGTCGCAACAAAAGTAGCGATCCTGATCATCTGTCGACAGCTGTTTGATACAAAACTGAACGCAACACCAGAACTTTACCAATGGTTCTTACAGGTACAGCTCCATTTTGTTTATTATAGATCTCCCTCAGTTTTGATAGAGAACACACCACGGCGGTCTCCCATGCCTTTTCTCATAAAATCAAATTTTATTATGAACGTTAAAGAATTACACCGCAGAATTACACTTTTAAACTACACTGGCGAGAAACAGCTATCTCGAATTCAATTTTGAAGGAGAACAACCCTGGGAATGGATCCAAATGTCTCCTACCTCTCTTTCAGTACCACAGTCTCTCGAGAGGACCTTTCGGCTCTGTAGTATTTAAGTAACCCATGCACAAAGATACCTTACATTTATAAGTACAGATGTAAGTAGTCAGTACACCAGAATTTTCCTATAGATAATACTGGTATAGTTCCACTGTATAAACTGTGCAGCCTCACCCCAATTTTGGTCAAAATAGTCCCGGGAGACCGGATCGGAGATTCTCCTACTCCTTTTCTCTTATCACTGATCCACTCGAGAGAATTTTGGCTGGGCCCTATTTTAAGTGCTCCTCGTGCCGCACACATACTATACACGTAAAAAGATCCATGACTTCTCTAGAATTCAAACGCAGGTCCAATGATATGCAGCCAGAGCTGTTTGATGTAATCAGCTCTTAATTTTATCAGGTAAAATTTCCGATATTTCGCCAACCTCACGCCTGGCAATTTCTCACGAACTTGACGACATTATGGAAACCCATGTTCGAAGCTTTAAAGAAAGATTTTTCCCAAAGTTATATAAACCTATAAGAATGATTGCATTTGAGTTTGAGCAGTGGAAGTCAGTTAGCTCAGTTACCCATTCAGTTCAGATTATATTAGTTTGAAATATTTTTTAAAAAATAAATCTAAAAATTGCTAAGACTTGCGTATAATATTTTAAAACACTTAAAATATTCATAGGTAGCATAAAATATCAATACCTGTTGGAAGTGGTATTTTCTCAATCCGAAATTAATTCCTTTGTAATGTAATGTTACGAAATGCCCAGCTCCGGTAAGATAGCTTCCCGCAAAGTGGATTTAGGTTTGCCAGAAAATGGCAAAAAAAGAAGGGTTTTCAGATTTGGAGCGAAATGACATTTTCACGATTCCTTCTTCGAAATAACCTAATCTCTCTACAGTGGCAGCCGAACGGGTGGTGGATGATTATTCTCCACCACCAGGATTTAGCGATTGGGTCCCCTAATCCCCAGTCGCCCTTTAAAAGGGGAAGTATATAAGGTATTTCTCCCACCTTCTTAGCGTGCCTTTGTAGTATAGTGGTCAGCACGCTCGGCGCGTATTTGAGAGGCCCTTGGTTCGAGTCCCGGCGAAGGTGTTGCTCATTTTTCATCACTTCTGCTTTCAAAAAATGCCTAATGTCTCTACAAGTTTCAATGGAAGATATCCGCACAGGTCGTTATATCCGATTTTCATACTTTTGGAAGCTCGCTAAAGCAGTATAAAAGAATATTAAGCGTATAGGAAATTGGAGCTGGACCAAAAGTTTCGTTCTTGATATCCAGGGTCTTTAAGCGGGGTTCGTTGAAATCCAAGCTCGGGTTCGATTGTTTCAAAGGAGGTTTCAATCGAAGAAATCCATATAGTTCGTTATACCCGATTTCATGCTTTTGGAGGCTCGCTATGGCAGTATGAAATAACATTAAGTGCATAGAATTTGAGCGGAGCCAGAAATTTCATTCGTATAGCAGAGATTCGTTATAGTGGAAATCTCTGTGTTCTAAAGTCACATGTTTGTAATCTTATAGACCACACATACCATCAGCTTGTAGGGCATTTGTATTCTCATAATTGTAGATCATACCTACCGTTTCTGACAGGACAGCACCGGTTTCCCTGGGATAGAACACTGTTCAGCGTTTCAATCATTCAGCCACTAGAAGGGGGTTAATTAGGAGTTCTTTGTACTATATTATTAATGAATTACTACAAATTACAATTAACAAAATATTTACTTAGTATGTTTTGCGTGTTTTATTTATTTATACATTTACGCACTTCAAATGATGGGTTTCTTCCGTCTTCTTCTTTGGTCATGGTGAATTAAAGGACTGTTTTATCAGTGCCGTCTTACAAATAAAGATACCCTCCAACAGAAAGATAAGATATGTACCCTCCATTATCCGAATGTGGATTACCCGATTACAGAAGTATCCATCCGTGGCGTGCCCACATAAGCAAACTCAACTCAACAACATGCGCAAGATTGTGTAAAATCAAAAACGAACAAGTTCGATTATGTAGAAAGATTCTTCCTAATATTCCTGTGGATTTATTGCTGCGAAGAAACCGAGTCAATAAGTAAAGATGTATGCCAAAAATTGAAAATATAAAATTCTCCGAAAATATTGGTGACTGAAATGTCGATTAATGGCTCGATGACGATCCGGCTAAGCCATGTTCTCGATGCTCGAGTGACGCGGATATTGTTTCAAATGTCACAAGAGCAGAAGAGACAGAGAGTGAAATTGAAACAAGAGAGGGAGATACTGATAATTACATTAGTCCCTGGACAGCAACGACGTTTGCTGAAAATCTATTGTACTGCTTCAACCAAAGGGAATTCGAGCACAATAGCAAAATAGCACTTCGAAAAACATGCAGTAAAATTTGATAAATGTTTAAATTTTCTCTAAACCAAAATTACTGAATTTTTTAAGAAATAAACGCGTACAATATGCATAAAAATTGATAGCTTGGCTTATTCGTGCCTTGCTTCCCTGATATTAGCCCATAAAATCAAAAGAAAACTCAAAAGTACACCCAAATTTTAACACAAAACAAAAGAAAGCTACTCGCGCAACACCATAGAAAGAAAATGAAATTGATGCAGTTTAAGCTGTTAATATTGAAATGGCATTCTTTAGAAATGCACGGCAGAGATTATACTCAGAATTCTGACAATGTAGAGGCTCGATCGATGAAACCTAGGTAATAGCTTGTGTTTTGCTTGCGACCTTCATGTCAAGTTCAGTGACCGTCCATTATCGACTACCGGTCTTTGTTGACCATCATTTCCAGGATTGATTTCTTTTGGGAAAAATTGCTCAAAATGGGTGAGTAATTTAGAGAACTTTCCCCTCCTCCATTGCGAAAATTATAAACATAAAATTCTAGCTTCATCTTTTATGATAGCTGTTCCAGCGGGCTTTTTCAGACGTCTGGCGTGAGATTAGAAACGTGTGTAAAAGCAGTTCGCTTAATTTTGGTTAACAGTGTTAGACTTATCCCTTAATAAAATAATTACAGATTAGAGAAAAACAATTATCGGGTATTATTTTACGCAGCTTAATATTAATTCCTCTGTTCACTACTATTTTGGTAGCATAAACTGAATAAAAAAATTAAACGTTGAAAAAATATGTCCTTCAAAACAGAAATCGAATTTAGCTAATTTAATATAAATAAGACTAGAAACATATAAATAGGTGCTGTCACAGAATTTTAACCCCTAACTTTTTTCCCTTTTCTGTACAAAAATAATCCATTTTTTAACTATGTAGTTTTAATTAATGCAACAAAAAATAAAAGATTCTAAAATGTTTTTTCATAATTAGTCCAAAGGGGCTGTGTCCCTGAAGGACTATTGCTTTCGTTTTGCGATTTTGCATTAAATCACTATAAACGGCGAATCACTTTTCAAACTATTCCACCAAATATTAGAGTCCTGCATTATACTTGAAGGAATTAAATAATGAAAATTCTGCATAAATGTATGTATATTTCTCGCATTGTGTAAAACAACGTTACAGAGATCCATCGAATTTTAAATGACGTAATCCTCCTTTGAATGTGGGCATGCGGAAGAACAAATTTGAAATTTGGAATTTGTTTTATTATCGATTTTATATTTTGTACAACTTTAGC